CACACACGCACATGCATCCAGCGTGGGGTTCAATCCTTCGGTTCAGGACTGTCTTGTGGGATCCAGCATCTTAACCCACCTGATCTTAACCACTACGCCACCTGCCGGCCCCTATATGACAACGTTTAGCGACAGATCTCAGATACGTGGAAACTGGAACAAGGGTGTGAGTCCCAGAACACGGACACGGGCCACTCATCCACTCATCGCATTTCAGCCTGGTCATCATTGTCTCCTCTTGAGGGACCTTGGGCATGTCGCCGAGGCCTTCTGGGCCCCAGCTGGATAAATGACCTTGAATCTTCCCAGTTCTGATGCTGTGCGGTCCGAGTCCCACGCACCCTCCAGGCAGCCTGTAGCGAAGTCCTTCCTGGCTTGTCTGTTGCAAGACCCCACGGGAGGCCTACTCTCAACTGAGGGCTCCATCTAGACCAGAGAACGAAGCGGGGCCAGAGATCTCTAGTCAGAGATGGCCTACAGAGGGCTTAATGACCAGTCCAGAAACCGGCTCCGGAAAACAGAGGCGGACAATAACCAGGGGCTTTCTCGGGGAAACGAGGCAGTCTAAGCAAGAGACAGGAAGTGAGGGCGGGCCAAGGCAGCCCCTCGGGTCCGATGAGGGACAACTTCCAGAAGGGCAGGAAGTCAAATCTCTGTGCCGCTCTCTGCACATTGTGGGCCAACAGAGCTTTGTTTGGTCAAAAAAGAAGCTTTGTTTGGTCAAAAAAGAATTTTTTAAACTTTTGTCTTTTTATGGTTTGGTGGGAGGGCATTAGAAATTTGAATAACTGACCTTTTCTCCATCTTTTTTTTTTTTTTTAAATTTTTGCCAGAGGGCACAGAACTTGCCAGAGTGACAGAGAAGCCCTGCCATGAGGACGGCCATGCTGCTGCAATTCCTCCTCCTCCCTGTCATCGAGGCGGGACTCGGGGCGCTCACGCTCTCACGCTTGGCATGTTTCTCAAGCCGCAGGGTCGGGGACGTGAACCGCCAGGTTGGCCATGTGGGGCCCAACTGCTTTAACCTCCACACCACCTGCTGGCCCACCCTTTCTTATTTATTTCATCTATGAGCAAGAGAGACAGAGAGGCAGGGAGACAGAAAGAAAGCAACAGCACAGGATGCCCACAATACTCAGGGAGGCCTCTCGACTCGAACTGGGAATTTTCCCATGTGGGATTGCACCGCAGAAAGTTGCATCTTACTACTGCACCACTGCGCGGCCCTTATTTATTTATTCTTCCATGAGGCAGAGAGGAACAGACAGAGACAGAGACAGAGACAGACAGAATCTGCAAAGGGTTTCTGACGCTGCGATCCACCCCCTGCCTCAGCCTCGGCCAGCCCTGACCATGGGCAGGCACATGCCCGGTGCACTGGGAGCCTCCAGACCCAAACCCAGAGCCTTCCAGTGTGGGTCAGCCTCCTGATTTTCAACAGTTAAGTGTCAGAGCTGGGGGCCAGCAGGTGGCATGGTGGTTAAGGGTGCTAGACTCCCACATGGCCAACCACGGTTCAAATCCTGAACCTGGTGGCTTGCTTTCTCACTTTCTCTTTCTTTCTCTCTCCCTCTCCTTCTCCCTCTCTGGTCAAATACAAATAAATAAATAAATAAATAACGAACGTTAAAAAAAAAAAAAAAAGAGGTGACACAGACAAGACCTGCAGGTAGTGTGGTAGTGTGGTGGCTAAGGCACTGGCCTCCCACATGGCCAACCAGTGTTCAAGTACCAGACCTGGAAACTTGCTTTCTCAATTTCTTTCTGTTTCTCTCTGGTCAGATTAAAGACTAATACTAAATAAATAGATCTTTATAAAACATAATCATAGAGCCATGGGTTTGCTCTTTCACTAGGCTCAACAGACAACACGAAAAACCAAAATGGATTTACTGGTGCCAAGGTACCACGTCAGCAGACCAGAACTGAGTTCTCTGACGTGGTTTCTCAGACAGGTCAGTATCAGCAGGCATGGTAATGAAGTTCCCTCGGCTTTAATTCTTGACAAAGGTAAGCTGAAGTGCCCCGATGTTAACCAGCCGGTTATTTTCCTATCACCCTTCCTCTCGGTTCCTGTCTCATTTTTGAATGAGCGATCGCTTTTCGTTCTGTTTTTGGAGCCTTCAGCCCTTCTCTATCCATAAATCCAAACTCCTCCTCTCAATGCCTCAGAGCAGTTACTCTACTTTATGAAATTAAATGGGATGGAATTCTAGAATCATAAGTAGAACCAAGAAATATATTTATTTGGTATTATTAGCCCATTTTATTTATTTTCAATTTTTATATATATATATATATATATATATGGTTAAATCGATGGACTTCCCCATAGGCAACCATGGTTTGCGTCCTGGACCTAGCAAGTTAAAACACACCATGCATGTGTGCGTGCGTGCCCAAGACCCTGAAAGGAGAATGGAGGAGAAGGGATTGTGGCGTGGCCATCTCCCCCGGGGGGGTGTTATTTCGCTTTCTGTCTCTGTCTCTCTCTGTCTTTCTGGAGAGTGTACACGCCCTATAGCAAAAACCTCCCCCCCAAAAAAAAAACTCTAAAAAAGAACCAGGCGAGGGACCAGCAGTTAGCATAATGGCTATGTCGCCGGACTACCACATAGTCGACAGTGGTTCAAGTCCTGGATCTGGTGGCTTAAACTCATGCCAGGCGCTTGTGCATGCATGCGTGCCTAAGATCCCTAGAGGAGAATGGAGGAGAAGGGATAGCGATGTGGCCATCCCGCCTGCGGGGGGATTTCTCGCTTTCTGTCTCTCTGTCTCTCTCTGGCAAGCGCACGCACCCTGTAGCAAAAAAAAAAAAAAAAAAAAAAAAAAGCGACGGACCATCAGTTAACATAATGGCTATGTCACTGGACTCCCATGTAGTTGAATGCAGTTTGAGTCCTGGACCCAGTGGCTTAAACTCACACCAAGTGCGTGTGCATGCATACCCAAGATCCCGAGAGGAGAATGGAGGAGAAGGGATTGTGGTGTGGCCATCCCCCCTGGGGGGTGATTTCTCGCTTTCTGGTTTCTTGTTTCTCTGTTTCTCTCTGTCTTCCTGGTGAGCACACGCCCTATAGCAAAAAGCTCTCCAAAAAAAAAAAAAAAAAAAACAGGCGAAAGGTCCAACTGCAGTGGCGTATGCTGGTGAGACAGTGCGCTCCACAGACCAGGACTACATGGGAGCCCAGGTTCAATTCCCAGTCCAACCTAAAGGTCAGGGGTGGTCTCTTGGTCCTGTCATCCCAATGACTTCAGAGGCTAAGGCGAGAGAGCATGGTAGGAGATCGTGACATGGAAAGACTCTGTCTTAAAGAAGAAAAGAGCAAATGAATTGAACAGACACTTTGCCAAGAAGATATGAAGACACTCAACTTCATGAGTCACTAGGGAAATGCAATTAGGACCATCCTGGCACCACTCAGAATGAGTGAAATGATAGACTGACCTAGGTAACGTGGTGATTAAGGCACTGGATCCCACATGGCCAATCTGCAGAAAACACAGAGAACACATTTGTGGGATGCGGATATGGTTTATCATTTGCTGATGAGGATGTGCATATGTTCTTAACTGGGCTGGATTGAGGTGTGTATCACGCTGGGTAAAGTCTCTTTACAATCTAAATGATGTATAGCGATTAAGTGTATAAAGAAGCATTAAAAATAATAAAAATTGTATATAAAAAAAGAAAACACAGAGAACAGAGGAAGATGTTGAAAAATGTCAAAAAATCTAAGGAAAATTTCCTCAACATGACAAATTATTATTTTTATATAGGCAACAAGTAATTGCTAGAGAGATAAAGTAAGAAAGCACCCTCCGGGGGGATGGCCACTTTGCGATCCCTTGACCTCCATCCTCCTCCGGAGATTTTGGATATGCACACACCTATGGCATGTTTTTTTCTTTTCTTTTTTTTTTTTTTTAAGAGAGATTTTTGCTATAGGGCATGTGAACTGGTCAGAGAGAGGAAGAAATAGAAAGGGAGAAATCATTCCCTGGGGAATGGCCATGTGCAATCCCTTCTCCATTTTCTCTCAGGATCTTGGGCACACATGCGCACACCTACGGCGTTTCAAGCCACCAGGTCTGGGACTTGAACCCCCGTTGGCCATGTGGGAGTCCAGCAACATAACCTTTACGCCACCTGGCATGTTTTTCAAGCCACTGGGTCCAGACTCCGACAGAGTTGGCCATGTGGAATCCACACCACCTGCTGGTCCAGTAGTTTCAATATTATTTTTACAATAAGAAATTATGTGTAATAAACTTTAGGGGGAAAAAAGCTGTATACTTGTCTTCGTTGTCCTGACCTTTAAAAATCACCTGTTTTGGAGGCTGGCAGCTGGCCTGGTAGTTAAGGTGTTGGACTCCCACATGGTCAACCACAGTTCAAGTCCTATACCTAGTGGCTTGACTCTCACGTTACCTTTCTCTCTGGTCAAATTAAACAATAATAATAATAATAATACATATAATTAAATAAAATAATACATATATTTTTAAATCACCTTTTTTTCTCCTGTCTGTCCCTTATGTTTTTGCTAGGCTTCCCACCATCTTTCCCAAATTTAGGTTATCTTGGTACTGGGACGACCAGCAGGTAGCGTGGTGGTTAAGGCGCTGGACACTCCCACATGGCCGACCGGGGTTCGAGTCCTGAGTCTGGTGGCTTGCTTTCTCACTTCCTCTCTCTCTCACTCTCACCCTCTCTCTCTGATCAAACTAAGGTTGAAGTTCAGCACCCTAACCGTCTACGCCGCCTACAAGGTCACTTCTCACACAGAAGCCACTGGGCGGTCAGGACACGCGCGCGTAGCGGAACTACATCTCCCAGGTGGCTGTGCGCCCGCAGGGGCGGGGAGCCCTCGGTAGCGGAGAACTACACTACCCAGTAACACCTTGCGGTAGGCGTTGGCTTGACCTCGACCGTACAACCATTGGTCCAGCGTCTGTGGGGATTTGCGTGGTGATTGGCTTAGCAGCCCGTCCGTTTCTGCCGGGCGCCGTTGAGTTTTGCAGTTAGGCTGCCTGAGCAGGGAGGTAGAGCGGAGCGCGGCGAGCCGGGCCGCGCTGACTGAGCCGGGTGAGTGACCTCCATGTCCGTCCTTCCTGCAGTCTTCTCGGGCACCTGCACTTCACTCCCTGGGACGGACCGGGAGTAGCCACGGGCGCGGGTATTCATGCAGGGGCGGGGACCGTAGGCACACGTGTTTCCCTTGACCTGAGAAGCGTCTCCAGGGACGCGGGAGGCAGACCCCCCTACACACACACACCCGGCACCTGTCCACGTGGGGGCCCACCTCGGCGTCCTGGCTGACTCGGGAGGAAGACACAGCCCGAGGCAGCCTGGACACCCGTGTACCTCCGCGGGGGCGTCTGCGGAGTCCTTTAGCTGAACACAGGACAGGGCACACGGACACTCTCCGCGGGGCACCTGTGACCCCGAACACCGGGGTCTGCCGCAGTAAAGTGGGTGGGAAAGGTGAACTCACACACACCGCATCCAGCCGCCAGCCTCCGGTGCTGCATTAGAGGCGTGCATATAATCGTTTTTCATTTTTATTTTGTCTCTTCGGATAAATACAAGGCTTGTTGGTACAAACGGCAGATTTGGAACTAGCAAAAGAGATAAGACCACCATTGTCCTGGGTTTAACAAGCCCCTACAGGTATATATAGCTCTTACTTTTTTCACAAAGCTTATCACATACGGTATCTTATATTAACCTCCCAGCAATCTGGGCTAACAGGGCATGTTTCATTCTCCCTTTCTAGAAGAGAAAAACCAGCTCCTGTTTAAATAAACCTGCCCTGGGGGGCCAGCCTATAGCGGTGGTTAAGGGGGCTGGATCCCACATGGCCAACTTTACCGGTTGGGTCCTTGACTGGCTGCTTGAAATACACACCAGGCACGTGTGCATATGTGCTCAAAATCCTGAGAGGAGAATGGAAGAGAAGAGACTGTGGAGTGACCATCCCCGGAGAGGATTTCTCACTTTCCCTCTCTCTCTGTTTCTCTCCAATGAGCACATGGGTTCTACAGCAAAAAAAACACAAAAAACAAACAAACAAAAAAAAACAGTGCTCAAGGTGCATGGGAGAAGTGGGATTTGAACACTGGTTTCTGGACCTGCTTATTTCTACAACTTGCTGCACAACCCACCCTCCCCCACCACCTTTTTCTTGGGTGTGTATCGTGCAGTTATAGGCAGGGCTTCCATGAAAGAAGAGTCTGGTAGCCTCCAGGCTCTTCCCAAAACCCCGTCAGGACACCTGTCACTGGCTTTGCTCCTGTTTCTCTCTCAGACTGGCAGGAAACCCAATACTGCCCTGCGTGACCTGAGCAGTCTCTGTATAATCCTGGGGGAGGTTTTGCCTCTTATTCGCCTGCCCAGGTTTAAACTGGTTCTCATAGATGCCTAGGGAGGAGTTCCAGGGTGGGTGAGAGGAGAAATAAGATAATGATGGACAGGCTAGAGCTTACCATCCTGCAGGCAATGCCCTCTGCATTACTACGAGTACCCATAAGCTAATTCTAAGGTCCCATCTGAAATCTTTCATTTATTCATTTATTTATTTTTAAGGTTTTGCCATAGAGCATATGCACTTGCTGGAGAGAGACAGAGATAGGGAAAGTGAGAAATCACTCCTTGGGGGGGATGGCCACACCCCAATCCATTTTCCTCTATTCTCCTCCTAGGATCTTTTTTTTGGGGAGAGGTTTTCACTGTAGGGCACGTGCGCTGGCCAGACAGAGAGAAAGAGAGAGAGACAGAAAGCGAGAAATCACCCCCCGAGGGGATGGCCACGCCACAGTCCCTTCTCCTCCATTCTCCTCTTGGGATCTTAGGCACACACGCACACGCACCCAGCGTGAGTTTTAAGCCACTGGGTCTGGAATGCAAACTGCGGTCGACTACGTGGGAGTCCAACGACATAGCCATTACGCTAACTGCTGGTCCCTCCTCCTAGGATCTTGAGCACACATGCCCGGCATGATTTTCAAGCCAGCAGGCCCAGGACTCAAACCATGGTTGGCCATGTGGGATCCAGCTCCTTAACCACCATGCCAACTGCTGGCCCTCCTAAAGTCATTTTATATATGTTTCTAGTTTATTTTTGCCACATCAAACTCAGTAATGACAGAAAGAGGGCCAACCTGTAGCTCAGCAGTTAGAGCGCCGGATCCCCCGTGACCTCCCTTGTGGCCTCAGCTGCTGCTGCCGCATCACTATGGCTCCCCTGGAACTGGAGTGTCTTGAAATAAATACATATTAAAAACAAACAAAGAATGGGCTGGCGCAGTAGCACAGAGGTCAAAGTGTTTTTCATTAGGAGTTGGATCCCCCATGACAACCAGCATTCAAATCCTGGCCCTGGCAGCCTGGAAAACACACTGGGCTCGTTTGTATGCCTGCCCCCTAAATCCTGATGGGAAGGAAAAATGAAGGAAAAGGATTGGGTTGTGGCCACGCCTTATTAAGGGGCACTTTCTTCCTCCCTCTTTCTCTGTCTCTCTCTTTCTGGGAAGCACATGCCACCCTGTGGCCAGAGAATAAAAGCTGTGACACACCCACTTAGTGGAGCAGTATTCAGTCGTTTGAAATGATATTTATTGGCTCAGCACAGTGGCACAGATAATAGGTGTGCTTTCTGCAAAGTTCTTCTGTATTCTAAAGGTTGATTTTTTTGGGGGGGGCGGGGAGAAGTTATTCGCTATAGGGTGCGTGCGCTTGCCGGACAGACAGAGAGACATAGAGACAGAAAGCGAGAAATCCCCCTCCATGGGGCAATCCTGTCTCCTCCATTCTCCTCTCGGGATCTTGGGCACACACGCACACGCGCCTGGCGTAAGTTTTAAGCCACCGGGTCCAGGACGCGAACCGTAGTCGACTACATGGGAGTCCAGCGACATAGCCATTGCGCTAACTGCTGGTTCCCCTAAAGGTTGATTTTTAATCATTTATTGGGTAGCTTTCTTTTGTCTTTTTTTGTTTTCAGTGTGAGAGGGCACATGCTCTGGCCAGAGAGGAAAAGCACCCTCAGTGGGGTGTGGTCAAATCACATTCTCTTTCCTCCATTTCTCCTTCCCATCAGGATTTTGGGCACACATGCACATGTGCCTCGCATATTTTTCAAGCCACCAGGGCCAGGCTTTGAACCATGGTCAGCCATGAGGGACTTAGCTCCCAACGCACAGCTCTTAACCACATACCAGACACTGGGCTGATCTCCGGAGATACAGCTGTCTGTAGGCTACTGAGTCCCTGCAGGTATGGAGCCTCCTTGTGGGTAGAGAGGACAGAGAACACACATCAGCAAGTGTGCAGAGAGCTGGACAGGAAATAAGCTCGCCTCCCGGAGGGGTGCTCCTTCGCCAAGCCCTGGTGCCTGAGGGAGCTGCCTTGGGAAGAGCGAGTAGGAGTAGGGCTGCCCATCAGACGCGGGGAGCTTGCACGCTGAGGCAAGGCCAGCAGACAGGCTGTGACACACGCTCTTCAGCACCATCAGAAGCAGTCCGACACGTGGCTGAGCATAGGAAGAGCAAGGATGGTCCAGAGTGAGGCGGAAAGCGTCCACATGGTCAGATCATGGGGCCTGGATACCCTTCCACAGTGAAGCATGCCCCTGTGCCAGGGCGAGCCTGCAGTGTGTGCAGAGAGCAGGGAGGGGAGATGCCCAAGGTCCCCGGGCCTTGCCTTTGGGTGGTGTGGGCTTCTTGGAGAATCCCAGGCCTGTTGTCTGGTCCCACACATCTGACAGTCCCCCTCAGTGTTCAGCTCGAGTGGGCTCACACTTGATCTCAGACGGGGGCATGCCCTAAAGTTGCCAGGTGTCGTCGGAAAGCGAATTGATCTCTGGATGTGAGCGATTTGCCTGTCATTCAGTCCACAGGTACTGGGCAGGTGCCGTTGGGGGCTCTACCCCAGGTACTGGGCAGGTGGGATGCACACGTGAGGTCGCACCCTCGGCACGTTTCAAGTGGAGGAGAGAGGCCGGAAACTTACCAGTACAGATATCCCCTGGTAACGAGTGCTGGAAGGAACACAGCAGTGCTGCTTTAAACAGCTGGTCAGGGAGGGCTGCCCTGAGGAGGTGGTGTCGCAGCAGGGGCCCTGAGAAGCCTTGGTGTTCATTCCACGTCTCTTGCCTTTAGCTTGATACCAATGGGCAGTGCGTGGGCCAGAGGCAGGGATGGTCGGCTATGACCCCAGCGCAGATGGGAGGAACGTCACCAAGTTCGAGGTGGCGGTGGCTGGGTCTGTGTCTGGACTTGTCACACGAGTGCTGATCAGCCCTTTGGATGTCATCAAGATCCGTTTCCAGGTACCCCTCCCCTGTTTCTGCAAGGAGGGCTGGAGAGCGCGTTCAGTTGCGTGTGCAGCTCCTGAGACTTGGCGCTTTGTCAAGGAGACACGCTTCCTCGCCTTCGTCCTCGCCTCCACCGCCCTTTCTGAACTCCCTCCTCAGCCCTCCCCTTGTCCTGACCTTTCTGATCTTGATCCCCAGCTTCAGATCGAGCGCTTGTCTCGCAGTGACCCCAACGCAAAATACCATGGCATTCTGCAGGCCGCGAGGCAGATCTTACAGGAGGAGGGCCCGGCGGCGTTCTGGAAGGGACACATCCCCGCGCAACTTCTCTCCATCAGCTACGGGGCTGTCCAAGTAGGTGGGGGGGTCTGGTGCTCAGTGCAGGAGCAGAGGGAGGGTGAGGCATGCAGGACGCTCACCTCAACTGGGGAGTGGGATTAGAAGCCGGGCTTCTTGGCTCTAGCTGTTCCTCCATTCAGCTGAGCGGGTATAAGCCACAGTGCATAGACCGTGGTCACATAGCTGTGGGGTGCCAACCATGGGCCAGCCCCTTGAAGAGGTTTTCAGCACTTCACGCAGACAGCCTCACACCGTCTCACAGGTTCCACTGTTACCCTTGTTTTATTTTATTTTACTTGTTTAGGTGTTATAAAGGCTCACCAGAGAGAGACAGTGAGAGGGAAAGTGAAAAATCACCCCCCGGGGGCATGGCCCTACTGTCCTCCTTTTCCTCTGTTCTCCTCCTGGGATTTTGGGCACACACACACGCACATGCACACGTGCCTGGTATGATTTTCAAGCCACTGGGTCCAGGACCCAAACCATGGTCAGCTAAGCAGGAGTCCAGCGCCTTAACCACCATGCTACTGCCAGAACCGCCACCCCTGTGTTATGGATGAGGAGCTCTGAGGCAGACAGGGCTTATGTAATTAGCCCAGCCAGAGTCCTAGCCAGCGAGTGGCCCAGCTGAGGTTCCCACGTGGGCAGCGAGCCCCGAGCCGTCTCTGCCTGCTCTTCACAGCTGTCACAGCCACTGCACAGGCCGGAGGCCTACGGGGCTGACGTGCCCCTGCTGTTCCGTCTCCGGCTGGCACAGAGGTGTTGTGTGAGGTGGGTACATGGAACAGCGTCACGGACTCAGGAAGCTGAGTGGCCTTGAGGTGGCTGGAGGAAGGTCTGTGTGGAGGGGGTTCCCCTGGGGGACACATTCCCACAGAATCTGCCCCAGAGAAGGGGGATTCTCAAACAGCGCCGCAGTCACCTGCTCCGTGGGGTCTCCTGCGAAAGTCAGATGG